TAGTACTTTTAATATTTTTAAAATATTAAACTGAAACAGTATTTTATATGGTCCCTCTCCTTCTTATTCTTTAACAGCATTATCAAAACATGGAGCAATTCCTTGAGAGGCCTGAACCTTAATAGGTCAATTTTCCTCAACAAAGGCAGTCAGCCCAATTCCTGCCTGCCTCCTTCCATATCTCAGTACAAGAATACAGTTAGAAACTGGGAGTTTTCAGTAGCCTTGGGAACAGGACCAATTCCCAGATATTTTATTTAGTTCTGGTCTCATCTAAATTGGAATTTTGACACAGCATTTTTCTCACACTAACTGTTTAGAGAAGTTCTTTCCAATTTGTCTTTATCTATTGTGAAGCCAAGTCAAACCCCAAAAGTCTTTATGACTCTTTTGGCAGTCACTGGGGACATAACTCAGTCACTCAAACACATGCTAATTTGAGACAAGGGTCTCTATTATTCTATCCGTGTAACATTCCCACCCAGTAATTGCAGTGGATGCTTTGGAGGAAGCTGAAGAAAAACAAAATGACTTTAGCATGTATATGTGAATTACACTAATGTCTTTCTAAAGGGAAAAAAATGCAGAATTGAAAGTACTTTCAAAAGGGCACAGATTTTATTGCTTTCATTTGATGTCTGTGCTGCTCTGTGGCATTTTAGAGTTTATTTGTATTTGGTTTTGGTTTTTGCTCTGCCTGAATTTTATGCATTTTTTTAAGGCTAAAGATCAATTTCTCCCTCTCTCAAGCATTCTAGATTTTTTTCCCATCACTTGGAGTTTTCTAAAAATTGCCTAATGTATTTAAGAATCCCTTAAATTCAGAGATACCTTCCCTGTATCTTGCTGATTTGACACACGCAGCATTTAGGTTCACTGGGAGGCTGTGACTTCACCTTATTAATAGCCTCATAGACATGGTTCACATTACCTGTAATTGTTTTGCCCAGAATTCTCATCTATCTTGATTTTATCTTAAGAAAACAAGTTACAGAAAATTATTAATTATTTTTATGGGAAAAATTCGCTCAATTCTAATTTTTAGAACTGATCATTAAGAGTCAAACTCACTCATTAAGTGCTATTTATCCAAACTACAAATGTGTGTGCAGGTACAGAAAACTCAATAATTAACAGTAACATTAATGTTGGAATACTAAAACAATCAGTTTAAAAATCACATAACCTGGTGTTCAGCAAAATACATTAGGAAATTGTTGAAGTAGCCAGAAAACTATGAAATTTAGGAATGAGACTTCTACAATTAAAAACTTCAAACGGTAAAAACATAAATATGCTAGTTCTTTTGATGGTTCTTTATTTATAAAAAAATTGTATATTTATTCTTACATGTTTAAACCTCAGTCACCTTCAAAGTACTCTCCATTTGATGCAATGCACCTACAGAGATTTTTTTCCACTGCTCAAAACAGTTTTGGAATCCATTGATTTTGATGTATTTTAGTGCTTCTGCCATTTTTTGTTTCACCTCTTCAACATCAGCAAAATGTTTCCCTTTGAGACTTTTTACATCCAGTGAAATAAATACATACATACATACATAAAGTCGCTTGGGACAAGAGGGGGTGCATAGGGAGGGCGGTGCATGAGGGCCATGCTCCTTTTGGGTCAAAAACTGCTGAACACTCAGTTCAGGGTGGGCAGATGTGTTTGTAAATCACCCATCAAGAAATGAGCAAATACTTTGAAAGAGTCTTCAGAAAAAATCCCATGAGGCCCAACACAGCTCTCACAACACTGCCAGCTGGTGGTGCACTGATACAGAGGGGTTCCTAGAACACTCACTGTAGGGGAAGCCTGTGCTACAGGCAGCCCGTCCTCCAGAAGACAATTCCAGTTTGGGGGCCCCCCCTCATATCGCAAGATAGACTATCTTATACACTGTACACTTTTTACACTCTTAGAGGTCAAGGGAACTGAAGAAAGATGAGGAATGAGTTTTCTTGGAAGAGTGAGAGAAGATAAAAGACATATTGGTAAATGTGGAGGGATTAATTAATTAAGGTAATTAATTACAAAGTGCCATTTAGCTCTCTGATAGAACTTGTGCTGAAGAAGGAAGGCTAAGAGAGGGCAGAGGCCAGCCTGCTGGTCGCTTGGTGCAGACTGCAGGCCACACCACTGAGGTTAAAGGAGGCGAGGCACATGCAGCGGAGTTGGCACAGATATAGGTCAATCAGGTGCCGCTAACTCTGTCATCACAAAGTATATTCAGACTGGAAGTTAAGGTGTTCTTGATTACTGTCTTTTGCAGTAAGGAAAAGGAAACAAGTTCTGGAGTGGCTTTTCTTGGACAGTTTTAGTCCTGAAAATTTGGTGTCTGTGCTATTCTCTTACTTTGAAAGCTGCTTTCTATATTGAAAGTATTTGTCATTGTCAGGATTCAGACTTTTCTTTCTTCTATAGAAAACTTGTTTTTTAGTGAATTAGGAAGAGTCTCTTTGAGGGGAAGTTTTTTTGTAGTTCTCCAGACATTTGCTAGAGGGTTTTTTTTTTCCTACATTCAACCAAAATGTACATTTTTCAAAAAGGGTCACAAGGACTTTAAAACTGATGACACCATTAAGCACTGTTGACAGGAATGTAAAATGGTGCAGCTATTATGGAAAACAGTATGAAGGTTCCCTAAAAAATTAAAAATAGAATTACCATATGATCTAGCAATTCCATTTCTGAGTATATATAGCTAAAGAATATATCCAGAAGAATTGAAGGTGGGGTTTTGAAAGGATATTTGTCTACCAATATTCATAGCAGTATTATTCATAATAGCTAAAAGGTAGAAGCAACCCAAATGCTCACTGACAAATGAATGGATAATCAAAATGTGATCTATATGTACAGTGGAATATATTAATAAGCCTTAAAAAGCAAGGAAATTCTGATAAGCATCATAGCATATAAGAGTGAAATAAGCCAATCACAAAAAGACAAATACTGTATGAGTCTGCTTTGAAAATATAAAGTTCTCATTCTAGTTTCCTATAAACAGAATAATTGTAAACTATAAATTATATTCAGATTATGTTCATTGATTCATAGATGCCCTTTCATTATGATTTGAAAATTATAAAATGTTTAGAAAAATATGTATTTTAGAAATGAGTCTGAAAATTGTTCATAGAAAAAAATGCACACTGTTTTTAATGAGCAGCATCTCTACCATCCCAGTTACTCCCTTGCATGAGCATCTAATTTGGTAATTAGACTGATAACACCTGTCCTCACTGTAGGTTATGGGTAATTAGATGTTACAACTGAACTACTAAGAGAGAATGGAACCTTCAACAGGACAGTCAGCTAGAGCATTATTCTGAGGCAAAGCAACCCAATTATTATTACTGCAAAGTTCAAACTAGAGGAATTGATCTGAACATTTAGTGGGCTCTCTTTCAAGCCAATCACCTTGTACTTACGAGTTTTGATAAAATAAAAATAAGCACAATCAGAAAAGGCACATAGAGGGAAAGGAACATGAACATAGTCCCCACTGAGTTCCGGAGACTTTCCTAAACAACTAAAAAAGTGTGGAAGTCTAAATCCAAATTTGGAACAGCCACTCCCTGGTAACTGAGCCCCTCAATTCTCAAGGTAGAACAACACCTGGGAAGTGACCATCACCCGGAGCCACTTCCTCTTCTGCAGCTCCAGAGAATTGCTCCTCCTCTCCCCCTGTCTTCCCCAAGAGAGGCCCAATTCGTCCCTAGGGTTCAGGAAGGAGGAAGCAATGTGCCCAGACCACCAAAGGTATTCATAGTGGTACCTTTGAAAAAAGAACAATGAGGGTATAAAGGGAGAACTCTCTCAGTGGACTTAACAAATGTTCGTGATCTATTTTCAGTCCCCAATGACTGTTGCGACACTGTTTTCATGAGACAATACGTTCTGCGGTGCAAACAACTGATTTTACAAATAAACATATAAAATGCCGCTTGTTTGTATGTTGGCGATACAGAGGAGTTCAGTGCCTGAATAAATGACAGTAATGAGATGATAAAGGTTTCTTAGACATTTATTACTGTGGGGAGTCCTGAGAGAGCACAGGCCATCCAAAGCCAGCACAGAGGGAGCTCTTGATCACTTATCACTTAGTAACGGACTTTGACTGAGCAACTGGATGGCAGGTCTCAGCTTTATTTTCCTGACAAGATAGTACAGCTGCAGCCATCTTCACGGGGGGCACTGTATAGCCCTTTGGAATCTTTCTTCGCAGCTTACACAGAGAGAGAGTAGGGGAGCAGCGAGGAAGGGGAGAGGGCAGGAGGTAGACCTTCTGCCCAGCACTCTTGCTTCAAAGCAGAGAGGCGCAAGGCGGAGGTACTGCAATACTACTGTAAAGCTCTGTGTGTGTGTTTATTGATGGTCAAAACCTTTTTTCTTTAAATTTGCAATAAATAGAGGATGATGATTATCACAATTTCACCAAAAAATAGAAAATTCATTCATTTTCTTTTTTCAGGCTGAGCATTCAAAAGCATTTCTCATAGAAATGCTATTTCTCTTCATAAGTACAAATGACTAGGCAAAGGCTTTACTGGAAAGAGCCCTCTGTTGAAAAGAGCCCATAAGCTAGAATGTTCATCTGACTTGACTCAGCGGGGCGGGGGTGGGGGGTGGGCATGGCAGGAGAGGGGTTGCGATGTCCTTCTGGCAAGTGCTCGCCAGGATCAAGCGTGCTGACATCTAGCCAACAGTCACTGCACAGGAGAGCCCTGGCGTGTCAGTGTCTGCTACAGTGTTCAAACAAAGGGCAGCATGCGCAGTTAGTTTGTAAAGCATTGTGCAAAGTCTAAAATAAAAAACCCTCTCAGCATAAATTCTTAACATCTCCCCTCAAGCTGAAGAAAGAAAAAAAAAATGGACGCAAGCTCCGACTCATCGCTCACACACCCTCAGTGTATGTGCGTGAACACCCGTCAGTAATTCTGCTACAACTAACATTTTGTGTTCTCTCTGTGCGTTCTCCACTTCCTTCCTAGAGCACCTGAAGGATAAGTTAGAGGAATACATGGCCCGCTTTTCCAAAGTAAGGATTGTTCGCACCAAGAAAAGGGAAGGGCTCATCCGGACCCGACTCTTGGGGGCATCTATGGCGAGAGGAGAAGTCCTGACGTTCCTGGACTCCCACTGCGAGGTCAACGTGAACTGGCTGCCCCCGCTCCTTAGTGAGTACCTGGCGTCACAGCGGCCTCCTGGGGTTGGAGGGCTGCCGGATTTGCGCTCTTCCCCTGGGAACGTGTGGTTTGCTTCTACTTAGTTTGCAATCTACAAAGGCTAGAGCCCCCCCTCCTACAATTTTTACAGTGGGAACCTTGAATTCTACCTTAACCCCTGCTGAGGACAAATAGGTAACTAGAAAACTGCATTAAAGTTGGCATTTGTAGATAATACCATCTGCAATCTATCTTAAGGTCCGAAAAGGTTTCATTTATCTCAGACATGCTCTTTGATTACACACCAAAGCTAAAAGAAAAATGCTAAAAGAAAAAAGTATTCAAAAAATACTACCTATAACTACAGTAAGATTAAAATTCACATACATACCCCCCCCCCACACACACACAGTTTAGCATTTATCACAGGGTTATTAAAATAGGAGGAAAGAAAATTATTCAGCCCTGGGATACAGTTGAATTGTAAGTGCCCCAGTGTTTTCTAGGACTTAGAGTATCAGCTCTTCCCACTTCCGGCACCAGCCGGGATCCCTAAATATATATAATGCCCCATGTTTAGGTAGAACCCCCTCAGACACTCAGGGCTGCTCTCCAGACGATACATCTCGACTGCTCACAACATGACTGCAAGGAGGCAAAAAGATTCTCTGTCACATCACACTTGAACTCTTAGAAACGAGAAAGAAAAACTAGAAGTTGTTTTTCTAGTTGTTGTTTCTTTAGGTAAGAAACAAATGCATGGCTCAGTTTGAGCCTATGGTTTTTTACTTTCACAATGAAGTCAGATATAAAAATCCAGTAGTAGATGAGAAACAAATTGTAAGTCTGAAAAAAAAAATGCATTTCTTAAAATTCCCGCTGGGCATGTACCGTACTCCTTCCTATTTTTCCAGATTTCACTAATTCACTTTTTATTGTGAACACATCCCTGACTTTGGAGCTAAAACCAGTAACAACTGCCTTCACAATAACTGCCTCAGAAAGAATGATTTGCTATTGGCTACTAGATACGATTGCAGCTAGAACCAGCAAAGAGGTATTAGTAAAAGACATGGGAGACAAAATCAATTGCAACTATACAGGATTAAGAATAGGAAACAACCAACGCCCCAACCGCATTGTCCTTCCCATCCACTCGCTCCTACACAGGTGACTTCCCAGCCATCCTAATCAAGAGGAACATTTAGCGCTCCGGCAGCCACAGGCTCCTCTGAGCTTTTCATTAAATATACCTCGTCAAAGGACATAGCAATTTAGAGTTTCATCAGCATTGGTGAGATTCCCCCAAACTGAATTGGATCTATATGGTGTTGAATACACAAGTCAGTAAGGGGCCTAACTTATTTATGAATTAGAGCAATCCCTAAATGTCAGTTATCAAGTCTCATTGTTCATATGACTCTAACAAGGAAAAAAAAAAAGAAGAAGAAGAAGGGAAAAAAGAGAAAAAAAAAACACTTTTTCATTTTTTCTCATTAAAGCCTTTCATTTCCTGTAGGCCTGATGGATAAGAAATGATTCAAGCTCAGGATCACTATCTTTTTTTATTTTCCTTTATCAGTGTCTTGACACATCATCCAAAATGAAAAAACAGGCGGAGTCACACAGATTCTTGGTTCATTTTTCACCTTGGGATTATACCTGAATTTCAATTTCCCATTAAGAGTCCGTTTGTTTGATCCCTGGAAATTGAAATGTAGGCATAAGTCTTAGATGAAAAATTAGTCATGCTGCTTTCACTCTAAGCTGGTAGCGCTGGATGAGAGCTGAAAGGAAATTTGAAGGGAAAGTTGACAGTTAATTTAACAGACTCATTCTCTTTGGGTCACCCTGGGACTCCTTGTTGGTCAAGGAACTTGTAAATCAACCTGATTCTGAATTTGACTGAAGAAAGTCACTGAAACCTTAATACTAAAATAACCTGCAGCAGTAATATAAGAGATACTTCAGACACAGTAATGATAGTCTCCTCTGTAAAAAGACATCTATGGGGAAGTACCACTTAGAAAAAGATTAAAGTTCATTATAAGGCTTCCCCAGGTGAAAATGGGTGCTCACAAAGCCCTTGGTGAAGCTTAACTTGACATAGTGCTGGGGGGGTCTCTCTGTCTTCTAATTAGCTAAAATAAGACAAAGGTGACCCCCGGTCTCGCTGGGACCATGCCGTCTAAAAGTGTAACCCTTTCCACATGTCAGCATTCCACGTTCCCCTTACGCTGTTTTATTTCTTTCCATCACATTTATCACCTTCTAGCATACAATATAATCTAGCTATTTATTATGTATATTGATTTCTTTGTTCCGTTCCTGAAGACATGGATTTTTGTGATTGTTATTGACTGCTCTATTCCCAAAACCTAGAAAACTGACTGGCACATAATCTCTATTTAATAAATAGTTGTTGAATTTGAATGAATGAATAGACAAATGAACAAATGAAAAGTCATGGAGACATGGCGAGCAGAGCTTTCAAAGGATTCTGTGGTTTCCACACCCTGGCTTATCGGTGTCATCAAAATAATGGTACTGAAATAACCAAGCCTCAGGAATTCTATGCAGTATGATTTCCTAAAAGATATCTAAAGATATTTTATTCCACATGCCAGAGCAGGTCTTCCAAATAACCAGAAAACAGATGGTCAAACTTAAAAGTTCTGCCTGTCAGACAGTATTAGTTTGTTATAATAGATCTTGATTAAATACACATTCTTGGGAAGAAAATAACTTTGCATGTAGCTGTACCAGGCGAGCAAAGTATGCAAATGCCAGTTCCCTGTGCCAGCTGTTAATCTCTCATGATAATAAGATCTACATGGAAAAGAAAGGAGCTGGAACTGAGAAAGATGTCACCTTTCTGCTACATGAGAAGCATGATAGCAAACAGGAAAGACCACAGAGTTCAGAGTGGGGTCACTGAGCAGCAATTGCATCCTGATTCTTGCTCTCAAATAAGTGACCTCTGACAAGTTATGTAACTTCTCTGAGGTCAGTTTCCTCCTATATGTAAAATGGGAATGATAGTAATAGCCACTTAACAGGGTTGCAAAGGAGGATTAGGAATTGCATGAGCTCAAATCCCTTAATAGTTGCTCAAGAATTTCATAGTAGCAAGAATAGGAGCAGTAGTGTCAGGCCATCTAACATATTTTTGGATATGGTAAGAGAAGATGAAAATGTATAGCTTTGATAAACAGAGTCTATTTTTTAAAAAAATTGTAGCAAGATAGGACTTGGCAAAATCTCTGTAAACCTGCGAGCAAAGAATTCTGTATATGAACTGTCAGCCTGTGGGGACAATAGCCATTATAAGATTAGATACTAAAACAGCCATCAAGTTAAATATTTACATTTTGGAATCTCCAGAAAGCAGGCTGATGTTTTCTCAGCAGGCTCTAGCTGTATGCTTGAAGGAACACAAGTTACTGTTTATATTCCACACATGTTGGACGCACTATAGAATGACAGATTGGGGACAGGTCAGAGCAGAAATGCAACAGAAGTAAAGCTAAATGGACTTCTGTAAGTCTCTCTGGGACATAACTTTCTTAAAAGAAAAAAACAACAATCTAATTGTGCCTAATCCCTGTCCCCTCACAATAAACTCAGCATTCAGACGAACTGCGTGCAAACCAGGCTGCTAGCAGCAGACATTAGAAGGGATCTGTAGGCTTCTCTTTGCTGAAAAAATGATAGATGGCCTAGGCAGGCATGTCATTGCCTATTTTGTGCTTTCATTTTTCAGACCAAATTGCACTAAACCACAAAACCATCGTGTGCCCCATGATCGATGTCATTGACCACAATCACTTTGGGTATGAGGCACAAGCTGGGGACGCCATGCGAGGCGCCTTCGACTGGGAAATGTACTACAAAAGAATCCCCATCCCTCCAGAGCTCCAGAGGGCAGATCCCAGCGACCCTTTTGAGTGAGTAGCAGCTGAGGGAGGGGCCAAGGGAGAGAGGGCAGGGAACTCATTCCAGGGTGTCAACTTGGGTCCCATGAGAAAAATTATCTCTACTAAAATGGGATAAAACAGGTGGCAACGATTGCAAAGCACTGGAGAAAGGTCAGACCTACACGCTATAGAAGAATGGCAGGCTGCGCTAAGTGCATGGATCGCCCCTTCTCGACCCGTGCGAAGCGCGAGTGTGCAGCTGTGAGCGTCAGGGAAACGCAGGGTTAACGGAAGCGCGGGAAGGAACGCAGAGCCTCTGTTTGATATTCTCTTAAATGTTTTCTTCGTAAGTTCAGTTCTCTCTATTCTTTTTACTTTTCCCTAGAGGATTATTTAAATGAAGTACTTTTCTTTTGGGGGGAAATGATATAAAATATGAAACAGTATTTAAGCCTATGTTCTCTCACCCTGGTGGGAACTGCCCCTTTATGAGGAAAGTTGTGCTCCTGAGTAGGTGTTTCCACAACGTATTTTGGGGAAATCAATCAAAATGATGTATCCAGAGTAAATCTTTCATAACTCTGCCACTAATGTAAGTCCTATATGGATAAGAATTTACAGTACTCTTAATTTCTATAAAACTAAATTCTTTTTTTTTTTTAGCGTGGACATGAAAATTTGTGCACATCAAGAGAAAGAAAAAATAGAGCTTAGTTTGACAAACTATTAGAATCATAAATGATAAATAATGAATTTTTTCCAAAAATTTCTGGACAATGCCAGAAATTGTCCAAGGCATACTATTATCTCATCTTTATTATTACACCTTTTGATCTCATTAAAATATCTATAATTTTGAAACTATTGACATATTATTTTTAGTGCAACAAAAATGTGACCAAGGCTTTGTACACTCTCTAAGAATCTATTTTAAGTACATTACAATCAGTAGTGTCTTTTCATTAATAATATGGGCTATAGAAGTTTTCAGTAGAGATGTTCCCAGGTACAAAACCATTTCTGCAACAATAACACTTTGAATTATAATGATCATTTGATAAACACCAGGAAAATATTTTCTCCAATTCTAGCCTCAAGAAAGATAAACTGTGAGGAAAGCAAAGGGGATTTCAGAAGACAGCCTGATAAAAAGGGATAGAAATCTTTTTTTATAAAAATAATATGAAGTATTCTCTTCAAGCCCTCAAAATGTCTCAGGTTAGGCCTCTTCATACCCTCAAATTGCTGGAGAGTTTTTGAGAAGAAATTGGAAAGCCCTTTGTTACTTTCCCACATGCTCTGGCCAAGATTTCAAGGACATTCGAAACTATTAGAAAAGTTCCTTAGTGATCTAAGGGGAGGAGTTTCTATTAAACATTTTAAATCAGCCCAGCGGAGAGATACTCTTCAGACTTCGCGGCAAAGGGGCTGATGGGACGATTGAAAGCCAGGCTGGGGGAGGAGACAGAAGGGCCTCCAATACAGTGGGACTGTTATGAGGTGGCGGATAGACTAGCCACAGCCTACTTGTTACTTTCTGAGGTTGCTATGCATTAAGGGCTAGAATTCATCCAGGATGGCTTTTCAAATACTGCAGCAGGACTGGGTTACAATGTCCTAAGTGGAGCTCCTGCCTTCTGCAGAAATGGGTTCAAAGCACTATCGAGGAGATCTCAGATGGTGAACCCTTTAAAAGTCCTCTCAGTCCCTGCACTGACCGTTGGAATTTTTGTCAGGGAGACCCTGGTTGTGGCTATCACAATACCAGGCGCCTCACTTAACCCCAGAGGCTGGCAGAATTGGTACTTTTCAGAATTAAATTACTTCTTGTTCCTGTCACCTACTTAGGTGGTTGCTGTCCTCTCCAAAATTGCATTTGTCTTTGAATCCTACTGCCTTTCCATTTTAAGTCCCTTTGATTCCTACAAATGTGGACACTTTAGCCTTTTATAATAAATGTAGCTTCCAGGCGGTGTCCACTTTGATGTTCAAAACCACTTTTGCCTTCCTGATAATAAAATAATGGTTACCCAAACACCTCTGAGCAAAATATAAGCAATTCTATTATCAGCAGTCACCTGCATGTGCTCATAAACAGACATGCTTTAGGCTAAAACTTGCTTCTCTAGATGTAAAGCTTTAAGATACACAGAAGGAATGCAGTCTATCTATTTATCCCTCACAGCATTTAATGTTTCAAGTGCTGATTTAAGGAGTATATGGTTTTCTATGGGAGGAGGGGAAGAGGAGGCTAAAAAGATAGGAAGAAAGGAATCCACGAGTAGTATATAAATGTACTGTAAACCCTGGGACTTTTCATGCAATATATGTGCAAACATTACCTTTCTGTAGCAAGCTGGTCAAATGTCCTAAGTGACAAGGCCTGAATTCTCTCATCTAGTCTGCCATTATTTGAGGTTTTTCAGTGACTATAACTATTGACTACAGTAGTGTTTTTCAACCTGCAAAACCTGTGATATTAGTGGGGCATGAACAGTATTTATTTATCAAGTTGAAAGTTTCAAAGTATTATACTACTATGTAAGTATAAGTATTATTTCTCAATATCTGATTTCATTTTACAATGTATATATGATCCTGGGTCATGATATAAGCTGTAGTTCTCATTGTAGCTCATTTAACAGAGCTCAAAATCTACTGAATTCCTAACTGGGAACCAAAACCTTCATCACCCTGACTAGGAAGAAAAAGGAAAGCTCATAGATAACTTTCAACAGAAGAAAAGAATTACTTCTATTTGCAAAGGGCTGTAGCTTTCAGACAAACTGCTCCTAGAAAATGAGAGAAAATTCAGTATTCATAGTTCGTTATTATATGGCAGACACAATTCTGATTGGATTGGGTACATTTGATAAATGTTGCCTTTAAAAAAACCCAAATATTCTCCTTTTCTGGTGGCTTATTTTACAATGTAATGCTTTTAGTAAAGGCTTGTTATTCATGGTTTTTAGAAAGTTTCCTTATTCCTAGTTTACCTTTCATGTGGGGCACTTAGGAATGTAAGCCTTTTTTGTGTGACAAAACATATTATGCCCTTTTAGTTGTGATGACAAAGGGGAAGATGTTCATTTGCATCATGACCACTAAATTCTCTAACATTATGTCAGTATCTATACATTTAGAAAGGGCCAAAAGAAACTACTTTAGCCAACTTCTCTTTAATGTAAGCAAGCACCAGACAACATCTAAGAGATAACCAGAATCTTCTTAAATTCATCAGGGATGTAATGTTTGCTACCTCAGAAGATAGTCCATACCATTAGAATAATGGACAGAGAAACCTTTTCTCTCAAATCAAGAAAAATTTGTCTCCTCAACCTCAAATTTTCCTACTTGAGACAAGGGAATGACTAATTCCTCTTTGATGATAAAGCTGTTAAGAATATGAAAACAGCTTCTATGCCTACCCTCCCAAGAGCAGGGGGGAAAAACACCGCCGTTTTTCAAGCTAAGTATCTCTAGTTCTAACCCCAGGTCCCGCAGAATCCTGTGAAAGAGCATGAGCTTTGATGAATTATTCGATATACGTAAATTCTCTTGGCTACCGCAATCTCATCCATGTTTGCCTAACTTGTTCACGAGGATATTGTGAAATAGCCCATCTGATATATCCAGTACTCAGGCCTCAATACATGAGTCTGTCAACCATAAAAATTAAGTTAATTTCTAGGGAATTTGTACTTGTTCCTAGAGATCATGCTTCCTTTCGCCAGGTACAATCAATTCAGCAGTCCATTCAATTTTGCAGGTTCACTGAATTTTTCAGAATTCACCCCTATCCTGTCTTTGAATGTAGAGAAATTACTTTTACTTTGTCAATTTTCCTCAGACAGACCATCACAATTCCTCAAGATTTCTAAAACTTAGAGTTTTGATCATCATGGATAGAATTTGTGCACACAGTTATTAGTGAGGACTGACATTCTCTATTTTCATCTTCCATATAGCACCAACCAATTTCCAAGATTTTAAAAATAAGTATATCTACACTTGGGGGTGCAGACCTCATAGGTTACAAATGTTCACTTATTCTCCCAGAAGCCCCTGCATCCATGACACATCAGTTTGAAATCAGTGACTCCTCCTTTAGGCCAGCTACCTAGCTCAGAAAATATCCTAGGACAGTGATAGCAATATCTATGACCTGTTGTAAGACACTAAAGGTTGGGCACTTCAAAAACCAAAGATCCCCTGAGGGTCTAAGGACCAAATGTAGAATCCTTGTGGGCTGATTCTGCAATCCAGAAGTGTGAAGCACAGCCCACACTAAAATGGATAAAATTCAACCTCTCTGTTACAGAGAACTGTGTCACTGTTACAGGGAAGTAGAATGTCTTCTAAATATTTACTGACAATGCGTCCCCTTGTTCTCTCAAGGACCAGAGAGAAGATAGAGTCCTGGGAACTTACTCTTTTTTCTGTACAGGAGTATGGCCGACCATGGGAAAGTCGGTGCCTCTTGGGTAACAAATACAATGTTATGCTAAATTTAAAGTTAGAATAGAATTGAATCAGAAAAAAAAAATGTGCAAATAATCCTAAGTTTATCAAGCGAGAAGAAACTTTGAAAACAATTCAAATCTTTTCTACAGAGCCTAAGTGACTCATCCATTGCCACAATTAGTAAATTTAATAGCTCCTACTAGAATCTGGGGTTGTTGTCTCATCATTCTGTGTTGCTTTCTTTCTTCCACACCATGGTTGTGGGGAGAAAAGTAAGAGTTGTTAAATGTCTGCTGCTAAGAGGCAGTCATAGGGCTAGGAAATTTGCTTATATTACTAACTCATTTAATATTTGTCTCAAGTCTATGAAGTCAGTAATGCTGTAAATTCTGATGGGGGTTGAACTGTACCTTCACTTACTCAGAATTTCAAAGTTAAGATAATCTCTTACTCAAACTTTTTCTACATGGATTTTGACCTATTATTGGTCATTCTGAATTTCGTCAAAATCGGTAAGGCATGAAAGTGACTCCCCATGGAAGTAAAGCCTGGTCTAACTATGAATT